GTGGTTATCTACAAAGTTCACTTGTGGGTCATATAGTTTCTCTACTCCTTCCACTGCATAAATACAGAGTTGGTGAACCTGACAGTTAAGCTCAGTGTCTCTGTGCAGCTTTTGCTGTGTTTTGAAGGTGATCGTCTGTGGTCATGAAGCTATTTAATGCTTCAGTTTTGAAGCTAGCGGTCCTACGTTTCAGTGCCGACTTGAGTCGGGGGTTCCAGATTGAGTGAGTGAGGGGTTACTTTGATGCCCCCTAAGAGCCACATGAATGCTTGACTCATAGGTGTTACTTTCTCCAGTCGTCTCAATCAAAATATTCGACGGCCTTAGCTAAAAGCTCAAACACTTCAAAACAGTAACTCTAAAGTCCTTTCTGGTAAAAATGAGACTACTTTAGCATTACTAAGGATCTGTGCATGACACGCTACAGTTCTCTCAGATTAAGAGGCAGGAACTAAACAGCTGTTATCACTGTTTTAGCTTGGACGGGAGGCTGAAGGGTTTAACCCCTCATACCCCTTATTTGGAGGGATGAGCACAGATGAATGTGTTGTGCATCTCAGACTGAGAAGAGCCTGTAGCAGAACATTTTGCAGATAATAAATGGCTCATAGCAGAGAGATGGCAAGTCAGAGTTGTTACCGCTCTCCCTCAGTGGAGGATGAGGGGCTGATGTCATTGCTGCAGACAGAATTGGTCGGGAACTGTTCTCATCTTCTGAGGGGGGGAGCGGGTTTAAACCTTTTGCTAAGGAAAGAGTAACAGGAGCAACAATAGCTGAAGGAGTTTGATGGGAGAAAACAGAACTAATGACACTCCATAGGGCTTTTCCAATATCCTACGTACACTTAACTGAAACAGAGCCGTAAGAAGAGTACGCTGTGGAGGACACCTCTGCCCAGAGGTTAAAAAAAATAAAAGTTAAGAGCAGAAGAGGGAGGACAATAAGGGAGCTGGGGTTTTCTTGACCTGGTCAGAGGTTTAGTCCCAGTGATATCAAATCACAGCTACGGTTACAGGAAGTGATTAGAGGAGGGATCCAACCATTTACCTGGGTCGTGTTTCAAAGTAGTTTTTATTTTTTAAATCAGCTAATTAGTTCAAGATTGATCTTCAGACTACATTTATGAGATTCAATGCTTTATGGAAAAATACACGCTCACTCTTACACCCTACAGCCAATTCAGAATCGGTGATTAACCCAACAGGCATGTGTTTGAACTGTGGGAGGAAGCCATGCAGGTGCAAGGTGCAGGGAGAACATGCAGACTCCACACAGAAAGACTCCCGGTGGATTCAAATCCAGGATTTTATTATATAATATTATATAATAATAATTATATTTCATTAAATCTCAACAAGCCGTTTGCTAAAGCAGGGATGTTAAAGTCATTTTACATAAAGGGCCACATAAAGTTTAAGTGGGCCAAACGAGTGAAGCTCTCTCTTTCTGTCAGTGTAAAGAAGTTTAACATTAAATCCCTCAGATAAGAAAAAGTTTCAAGTTGCAGTTTCAACAGCTCATCTCACTTTTTCTACACAATAAAGAAATGTGCCTGTAGTAAATCAAAGACATCTGTCAGCCTGATTCATTCAGCTTAAATTGTAAAAACCAGAAAACGATCTGGTAGCTCATCGCCCAGACCATCCTGTAATTATGAAACAGGACGTTTATTTTAATTCACAAAAAATCTTTCTTTTTCTTTCATGTTTCTTACTGTGGAATCATTGCAAAACAACACAAAACAGGAATTTCTATTGTAGAAAATGAAAACAGAAACTATCTTTTACATAATTACTTGGGTGTAGTGTGAATGGCCACGGGGGAGGGCTTTTTTTGGTAGCAAATACTGTAAAACTTGTGAAAATACAGATGCAAGCCCATGATTTAAGTCCTCCTTCACATTTTTCCAAAACCATCAGTGGGCCAGATTGGAGTCCTCGCCAGGCCGATTCTGGCCCTCGGGCTTTATATTTCACATCGCTGCTCTAAAGTGAAACAAACCCTAACCAAAGCGCTTGAGGCGTGTATTATAAAACTAATTCTTTCAACAAATGTTTTTTTCAATGGTTTTTAAAAACACCATCACTTTTGTTCTGTTTGATAGACTTTCAGAAAATCTGATTTCATGAATTGAGGAACTGGCCCTTTAAAACTCCTGATGACTACTGTTCCTCCAAATTTATTTGTCATCCTCTCTGACAATCTTCTAACATTTCTTTTCCGCCACGTTTCTCATTCTCAACCCTTATTTTCCATCTTTGTTACAAGAGGAAGAGACAAGCACATTATAAATCATATGTTCCTCTCCCTTTTTTTCCACCTGTACTTGTTACCCTATTTTTTTAAGCTCGGTTCAACTTCCCTTCAGCTCACTGCTGTTCGGTGTTTGGCCCGATCAGAGGGGAGCTGAAGAGGGAGGTGGGGGGTTGATAAAGGGGAAGAATGTGGCCATTGTGCTTTCCCGGTATGTGTGTATTTGCGACAAACAGAAAGAAAGAAAGGGAGAGAGAGGAGAGCAAGGCTGATCAGATCTTGTTACAGGTGTTTCATAAACAACACAATAGCACTAACAGGTTTCCTTCTGCCTCTCCGCTGCACTCGTTACTCTGCAGCTCTAGATCTCTGCCTATGTGCTGGTGGATTAGGCTTACGGTTTTGTCGCGTACACACCACACTGAATCTGTGCTTCCCCATCATGAGCATAAGATGATCATGTGACAGACATGTGACATGATCATGGTGCACGCTTGTGTCTGTGTGAGTGTGCAGTTTATGCCGTTTCTCTTCCTTATGCTTGAGGTTTGCTGAATAATAAAGTCCAATCGGTTTCTTGCTTTAAAAAAACTGATATGTTAATTAAATAAAAGATCTCTTCCTGTTGCCTTCTGGTTTAAGAAATCTGTCTTTTCTTCCTGAAACTAGACAGGGCCAAAACACAGCAAAAATAAATTCAAACTAGGACAAACATCGAGATATAAATGTATGTCTTAGATGACGTCTGCTTCTGTGCTTTCCACTTGTGGAATGTGATACAGCGAGTTGAGAGATAAGCGCCACTCGGAAAAATGGTTCACCTATTGAACTTGGTTACACAATCAGTAACGAAGCCACAGCTACTGTCCGAGACGGCGACACAGACAAACGCAAAGCCCCGATTGAATAACCCCTTCCATATGCTAACCATTCAACTGGTTTCTATTTTTGGCTTCGGTTTTTTACATCAGAATGTCTAAAGAAGCCACGTGTCACCACTTCATCAGGTCTGACCAGCACTTCAACACACACACACACCTTTGAAACACCTTACAGGTCCAGGTATTTACAGTATTCACACGGAAGCTGGCCATCTGTACACAAACATTTCGTCTTGTTTCCATCACTTCAGAAGGCAGCAAACTGACTTATGCTTATTTCCTGAAGACATACCCTCATGCTAACCTTAAACTGGCTCTAACCTGAACCCAAACCTGAACTGAGGTCACTGAAGTTAACTGAAACTAAGCTAAAGAGTAAACTAGTGAGAAAAAGAACAATTCAATTAACTGAGATAAAATAAACTTCTGACAAATAAAACAAACGTACATGGTAGTTGTCTTTAGTTTTTGTCAGTTTGGTCAAATTTGCTCAGATAGTAAACGCGAGGTCTGTGCAAATGTTTACCGAGACTGGATGTCTACAAGGCTGTGAGTGACAGTGGTGTGTTTGTATTGTAGAAGCTAATCTGATCTAATCCCTGACAACGACCTCCAATATTATAGAGAAAAATAATACTGAAAAAAGCAAAAACCAGACGCTCTCATTGGATCTCAGAGAGTGAGCAGAGTCTAGCCTGGTTAGTACTTTGGCTGTAAGCTTCGTGTGGGACTATGGTGCAGTGGTTAGCACTGTTCCAGGTTTGAACCCCAGCTTATCTACCCCACATGGACGTGAAGTAGATGTAGACAAGTGTAGACAAGTAGATAAGTGTATAGAATAAAGTACAGTATGGATGTATGGTTAAAATGTGACTTCTAGTCTAAAAGCACTTTAATAATCTAACTTAAAATTTTCCACCCCAAAAAAATGATGAAGGAATAACTTGGTCAACCGGCCCCATACTGCATGCCAAACTGGTTACCAGGAAACAGAAACTAAAGTTAACTTCAATGCAAGTACAACTTAAATTACTGTAAACTGGCATATGACTTACTGTCATTTTTACACTCTGATTTCCTTTCAACTGACATTTAAAAGTCACCCATAGTATATTATTGTACTTTGAATGCTTGCTTGAATGAGCTTTAGCATAAATAAGATTTGAGGCATCACTTACTGCATTTCCTTATGTGGAGAAACACGTGAATATTTCCAGAAACTACAGCTGGACAAATGACAGCTTGGCAAATTTGAGCGGATACCCTCTGTGTCAGTGAGACAGTTGTTCTTGAAAAGATCAGCTGGATGTAAACTGTCACACACACACAAAAACACACAGACACACGGGTACACACACGCACACACTACTCTGCTTTCATATGCACACATATATACTCGAGCAGCTAAGTCTCGTTTGCACAACAACAGGACACCCAAGGCTAACTGGCGCCCTGCTCGACCAGTTTCTGAAACCCACACACACACACAGAAGATGACAAGACAAGAACACATAGAACACACACACACACACACACACACACACACACACACACACACACACAAATAAACATTCAGTACTTGCTCCGTAACCTTGCAGTGAAGGTTACAGCAGTCAGTTGGGTCAATGTGAACACTGGACCAGCTGAAGAAATGTCCTTCCAGATTACCCACTGTGTGAGTGTGTGTGCATGTGTGTGTCTGTGTGTGAGTGTGTGCTGTTAAACCTCCAGGTGAGAAAACACACCATTGCTCTCAGCTACATTTACAACATAACTGTTCAGACTGAAATGAGAGAGAATTTCTGAAAAAGAAAAAAAAGAAAAAAGGGGGGGGGGGGTGCACACACGATGAGTTCCCAGCCAACCTGTAGGATGATGGGACGTGTAGTCACGGCGTCGGCGTCAAAAGGCAACGATCCGGCTTGTCACTTTCTCATCTTCCCCTCCTGCCTTCTATCTTCCTTTGTACAGACAGTCAGGTTCTCTCCGGCTCCGTGTTCGCTGTCAGGGCACTTCCTGTCTTCAATGACAAGTCCCCCAAAGCACAATGAGAAGAGATCTCAGACACTTCTGTCAAACACACTGCACACACACACACTGCACACACACACACACACACACAGAGGAGAGGACGACTCAAAGTTTCTCTTCTCCTTTTGGTGTTTTTTTGGATTCTGACTCAGATCCTCTCTGTTTGTCCTCTCCTCTGCTCCAGTCACGACAGCACTCGTAGACGTAACAGCGGGAGACGGGAGAAGGAGGCCGGTGCACAAGGTCTCGAAGTGGAGGAGAGAACAGGAGGTGACAGAGTTGAAGGAAAGCATTAGAGAGAGAGAGGGAGGGAAAGAGGGAGGGAGCGAGGGAGGCCACTGGTAATTAGTGAGTCTGTACCTGACTCTCACTGACATAAGCCCCACATTCCTCAGAAGCGAGAAGGGGGGAGAGATGAGGAGGGAGAGAGGAAAAGGGGAAAAAGTTTGGAACACACACTAATCATCCCAGGACACACATCAGAGAGGACCCTCTTCATCCCAACATACACACAACCACACACACACACACACACAAATCTGTCTTCCTTACAGCACAGCATAACTGTCACGGCGCTCAAGTCAAGCCTGCATGATGTTCAGCGAAGGTGCTGCCGCTCCTGAAGCTTTGCCGTCTGTCACCTGCTTTTAGTCCCCTTTCTTTCTTCTACCTCTCTCTCAGCTCGTCTTTCCCTTTCTGTTTCTCTCTTTCGCTATGTGTATGGTGTACACACTGCCAGCTCCTAAAACTCACCAAACCAGAATCTGACTGCCCATACCCCCAGCACACCTCCTCCCTGCCTCCTCCTTCCTATCATTCCGGATAGGAAACGCTATCCTCCTGTGGCCCTGTCTAATCCAAGTGTGTGTGTGTTTGAGTGAGTTAGTGCGATCAGCCAGACCTGAGAGAGGAGATTCAGCAGCAATCCTCTAAAGGAGTTTCCTGCACACCTACCACATGATCGCTCTCATCCACCGCTTGCTTATTAGTGATGATCACACACGCTCATTCACAAATACACACATACACCCCTGAGGTCACGATGACATGCTGTCTTTACACTGTAGTGTTCACCTCTCTGACGTGCGTGCTGCAGATCCCTCTGTAATGACACCTTTGTGTAATAACAACCCACTCGGGCACTCTCTCAGGTTTCTTGTGTTTGAATTGTCAGCATGAGCGTGACAAAAAGCATGACTGACAGCTGAAAGGGAAATCCAAACCTTTAAATGTCCAATATAAACAGTTTCTCACTTCTGTTAAGGAGGGTTATGCCGTAAAGCTGAACAGAAAGTAAAAACTGTTTTTTCTTTCTACTCCTTCACACAGTCCTTCCTCGTCTCATGCACTTTATCCTCTTTTCTGATCTTTTCAGAAAATGTCATACTTGTTTGATCATGTTATTGAGGTTCAGCAACCCTCAGTCACAGTATTCACTTCTCATTCAAGACTGCGTAAAGTGTATTCCTGTATCTCTGTGTGTGTGCGCGTGTGTGTGTTGGTTACCCTACCTGAATTCCTTGGAGAGTTTGGCGTAGGCGGGACCAAGCGCTTCCTTCTTCCTGATCTCAGGTACGTGGCGAGCGCGACGTCTTTGTGACAGCCAGTTGTCATGGAGACAAGGAGAGAGCGCTGTGCTGAACAGGAGTGTCCGCGGTCAGCCAACCAGCAGACTGAGAACAGAAGAGAGAAGTGAGGACGCTGGATTTCTGTTTAGTGTAACAACACACACACACAGAAACACACACACACAAACAGTAGGGAACTTGTGAGCATGTGTGTGTGTGTGTGTGAGTGTGTATAGGAAACTGAGATTGAGTCAGATGTGCTCACACAGAGAAATAACGTTTCAACACAGCGGCTGAACTCTAGCAGGGAGGCGGCCGGGCCGTTGATTAAGTTGCTCAATACTTTTTGACTTTAATGCTTACTTAACAGATTTCACACAATCCTTAAAAAAAACTGCAAATACAAAAGCATATACACGGCAATAAGTCAGGCTTCTGTAACTGCAGCAGGCTGTGCAGTTCACCCCAAGTAATCTAAATACATCACGATACAGGTTTCACGGCTGATTGTTTCCTACTCTACTAACATAAGAGGAAGCGGTGAAGAAGCACAGATTAAACAAGTTTTAGCCACCATTGCCCGATTCTAGAGTAAAAGTAGATAAAACCCACCTACACCCTGGAACAGGGTTGCACCAGCCAAGCGTAAGCCTAGTCTTAACTACACCCAGTCCCAGTGATTCACATTAATTGCTGGGGTGGATTTTTAATGATTTTCTGGTGTCTCACTAACTTATAATTTTGGCTTTTGCAAGCAAATAAAATGGAATAAAAGAAGAGGTGATTTCACCACTTCAACACTGGAAAAGCAAAATTACTAAAGCTGTGCAAGAACGCACAGGTGCAGAGTCTAGTTTGGTAAGAAGAAGAAACAACTCGGAAATCTGTTCAGAAAACAGTGGAAGGAAAAAGTGGAAAGATGTTCAGCTGCCGTGTTGAGGTCCAGTCGCAGCTCTTCAGTAGCTCTTTCCTTAGAGAATCGAAACAGCTCCCCAGTGCTGTATCTGTCCATCCCTCACAGCTCTCTACTCTCTAAAAGTCTTATTGTGGAGTCGGTGTCATAAAAAAGCTGATATTTTAACTTCACGTGTGCTCCTCTGCAGGTTCACGATTCACACCACGCCCAGAAGAACGCATAATCCTATATTGCACAACAGGCAAAACTCTTATGTCAGACTTAAGATGCCAAGATAAAACTGATTACGCTTAAGACCTGTTGTAAGCTCTGCTGTTACGACCAGCCTGCTGTGCCTGAAGTTTGGTGGTTTCATTCATTCATTTTCATTTATTTATTCATTTTCAGGCACAACAAATACCTATATTGAACATAAAATACACAAAACAAAAAATGCCTGAAAAAGGAGTGGGACGAAGAAAACTTATTAAATCCCACCCCTATACTCACTCATCAACAAAAAAAACAATAAACTTCCCGCAGCTACGCCCATCATTGCATACAGACCCATCAACAGCTCCGGGCACATACAAGCATCTAAGCGGCAGCTCGCAACCAACAATTAGAGCCTTCATAACTGAATACAGAATATATAAATTATAAATTGCATTACCACAGGTAACAGGCAGTAATAACTACAAGTAACAAACACACATACATATACATACATATATATCTACACACACACAAGTACATATATGTACATACATACGCACACTTTATTTATTTATTTTTTATTTTGGAATCCATACCAGCAATGGTAAGAGAACAGACATTACAGAGCACACTAAAACCCATCATTGAGTATACTGTGACCAGACCAACTGTTTGTAGAGAAATTTAAATCTATGAATATTTTTGCATTGTTTCAATTGTAAACTCAGACTGTTCCAGATTTTCACACCAAAAAAGTAAAATAAATGGACAGACGCAAGTTCATCGTAATGCTTTGTGGAAAAGGCACCCACACACGAGCGCACATTTTGTATATTCTTTGCATCTTTCTGCCTTTGGTCCGGTCCTTATTTATTCTCAGTCAGAATGTGATCAGGTGACTGACTCTGCCATTTTAGGATCTTTCACCTATTTATTCTTTAAAGCTTTAGTAATGTGCTGGGCGTCTGCCAGTAGAGAATCAATCGAACAATCAATGCCAGAGTACCTGTTCGACTGGTGACCTGCTTGTGTTTTTTCTCTGCATATTTGGATAAAGGCTGATCTTTGTTTCGTCGTTCCACAGACATTTGCCCCACATCTTTACCCGTTTCTTGTTTTGCAAATTCCAACCTGCCTAATAACCTGCTTATAGGGCTTACCTGGGGTTTGTGTCTCGTGATGAATCATCTGACCTTTCTTGCCTACGTACCAGGAAGCATTCTTGACTTATTTTGCTGTCTCAATATATTTAGAGGGTTTTTTTCCCCACCATCACGTAAAATTATTTTTCCAGTCATCCACACTGACTGGAGTTCCTCAGGCTTTAATATAATATGACTTTGATAAAGCTTAGAATTTAAGGTAGCATCTGTAATTTCACATGCGAAGACCAAAAAAGCCCAAATATTTATGGTCTGTGTCGTATAAGGCATGCATATCCGGAGAGTGGGGTGGGGGGGGAATTTCCATAATTTTATTATCCAGCAAATCGCTTTTACTCGTTTCCTAAATAAACCTGTGTTTTTTCCAACCACAACCATTTTCTTTACAGGGTGAACATCCGCCTGCACAGACTTGCTTTAGTTAAGTGTTACGTCACAGTGAGTGGAAGATCATAGCTGCTTTTGAGTACCATTATTGATATGTGTTGATACAGGACAGGCTTTTGAAAGTTATAAATCCCCACTGACAATATAATAACTCTGACACGAGATGAACGAGTTTATGGTTTAAAGACCATCAGCTTTTGCAAGACCAGACTTTATGAGGTGGATAAAGTTTCACCGGCATGGTCTGTGCACGTGAGGTGAAAATTAAAACATTAAAATATATTTGTTGCATGTAGTTTGTTCTGTAAAAATCAGTCTGGTATGTAGGACTACAATAATTATTCATTTCAGATAAATATGTAAAATGTGTTTTGTTTATGGCTTGTGCACACTCTGTCAGTCAATTTTCATACACAAATCATGCTGTTTACGCCAGAAATAGATCAAAGTGCTCCAACAGAAGTTTTAAAAAGTCATTATGAGGACTGAAGTCTTACTGCGTGACACTGATCCGGCCTCCTATAGCAATGCTTTCTGTGACCGGGAGGAAATCATTACCGATGGATGTCATTTTCACAGATAAAGGCAGTTCTATTGAGTGCAAGGGTTGGTATTGTTTAAAAGTTTACAGTGCTCATATCATGTTTAACAGTTGGAGGCTTCCAATAAAGAGTAGTCGTTCATAGGTCACGGGGAGATAAAAGTGTGATCATATACAGTTCACTGTGTCAAAGGAGGGAGGGCGGCTTAAACTGAGAAAGCTCCATTTGGCTTTTTCCCATTTAAAATGGCATAAAACACAACATGAAGCTGATTACAGTATAAGTTAAGCTGAAAAATCTGTTAAACATACATTTTCTTGTTTACAAAAGGAAAGAAAAGGAAATCCTTTAAGTGGCATCTGTAAACAAACCAGAGTTGAAGGATAATCGAGGTTAATTACCACCTGAACTATTTCCGTATTTAAGGTTATGCTTTATAGCTTCTCCTCACTTAACAAGACAGATTACGACAAAAAAAATAGGAAAACAAATGAGAAGAGTCGTTATTTTAACGAAGTCTCACACTCACTGGTCACTTTATTAGGTACACCTTACTAGTGCTTGGTTGGACCCCCGTTTTTGCCTTCAGAGCTTCCTTAACTCTTCATGGCACAGACTCGACATTCCTCAAATTTTAGTCCATACTGACATGATAGCATCACAGTTACTGCAGATTTTTTGGCTGCACATCCATCATGTGAATCACTCATGTCATCACAGCCCAAATGTGCACTGTTGATTTGGGATCTGGTGACTATGAAGGCCATCTGAGTACAATGAACTCACTGTCGCGTCCAAGAAACCACGTTAATGATCTGCGCTTTGTGACATGGAGTGTTCATGGTCAGCAACAATACTCAGGCAGGGTGTGGTGTTTAAATGGGGCACAGAATACCCCCCCCCCACACACACACACACAGACACACACACAGACACTATTACACTAACACCAGACCCCTGAACCATTCACAGAAGGTTGGACGGACCCATGGTTTAATGCTGTTTACGCAAATTTCTCACCGTGCTATTCAAATGTTGCAGCAGAAATCGACACTCATCATACTAGGCAATGTTTTTGCAATCTTCTATTGTCCAGTTTCAGTGAGCCTGTGTGATTTGTAGCCTCAGTTTTCTGTTCAGTATTCTGCTGTTGTATCCCATCGTCTGTCTTCAGAGATGACCATCTGCCTTAGCTGTAACGAGTTTAATCGTTTAAACAAATTTAAACAATGCCAACTCTTGCACTCAATAGAACTGCCTTTATCTGTGAAAATGACATCCATCGGTAATGATTTCCTCCCCGTCACAGAAAGCATTGATATAGGAGGCCAAATGTTAAATCTCCCCACTCTCCTCCAACATTTGACATCAATAAAGCATTTTCACCCATAGACTGCCGCTTGACCAGCCCGAACGTCTCTGTAAACACTAGAGATGCTTGTGTGGGAAAATCCCAGCAGGTCAGCAGTTCCTGAAACAGGTGCACCTAACAAACTGGCTGGCGAGTAGTCATTTCAGCAGATTATTTTTGGCACTTTAAGTTATTTAAGAAAACTAGAAAAAGAGAACACCTCAAAATCCTGCACCCTTCATTAAACTTGTAATTTACAGGCACAGAGACTTGCACATGTGCACACAAGAAAGCACACACTCCCCATAATAAAAACCTCAGACCATGCCCTCGTTCCTACTTAATAGAAAGAGAGATCTGAGACACTGAGAGGAAGCTTCCAGCTCTCCTGATACTCTTATGACGCCTCACAATGGCGCACAAAGGGATGAGGCAGTTTAGTTATTCACCCCCAACAAAGTGGGTCCAATCAAGTTGTCACGCACACAACAAGGAGAACGGAGAAAGGTGGAAAACTTGGATCATGTTACTAATGTGAACTGGATTTACGAAGTCTATCAAAAGACCGTAAGTGCTGCGACTGCAGTTCGCGTCTCTCTTCAAGACCATAATTCTAGTTAACAGATTTTGACGCAAAGACTTTGTTTTAAAGTCAGGTAAGTGCGATAAGAGTTAGATTTGAACAAGCTTCCAGGAAATTAATCTAAGCCAGTGTAATGTTGCCTGAAGCTATATAAACACTAATATGCACAAATATCCTTGAAAAATGTGTCAAGTGTTTAGCAGTGGGTAAAACTAAAAAGCTCTCCTTCAAATATTACCGCCTGCATCGTGGGGTAGTTAAACAAGAACTAACAAGGAAGCATTATGATGGGAAGCAACAGCATCAGACCTGGAACCACTTGTGTGCACATTTTATTTACACAATGTGTGAATGTGTGCGCAGCTACAAAGCGTATCTCTGACGTCTCATAAGTATGTGAAAGCCAATAAATGCATAATGGTAGGTATTGTGTGTGCAGGGAGATATTAGAGATCGGGTAAAAACAACTTGCTCTCCCTTATTGTGTTTGATGCTGAAGAACAGTGAATGAGACAAGCAGCCGTCACAAC